AACTGTTCAGAAGACCATGGATTGAGCATCGTAGCTTCCACAGTTGTATTGTTCACATAGTTTTGTTCACGGCGAAGCATTTTCATGAAAAATCAAAACATACAAAGCGAAGAATAAGCAGAAAAAGTCTGGAGACAGTGCTACATCCGCAAGCCGATCGATAAATCTTTGGTTATCGTATTAAGGTACTTATATAATAGAGTATTTTGAAGACTTTAAAGAGTTGCCTTAGACTCACTGGAATAGTTAATCTCCGAAGAGATTCCATTACAAGCTTGAAAACAACGATAGATGCATCTCCCGCTCGGTCGTACACGAATAGCCGCTGTGTGCGGTCTCTTAGCGTGGGGGTATAGCTCAGGGGTAGAGCGCTCGCTTTGCATGCGAGAAGTCTGGGGTTCGATTCCCCATACCTCCAGAGACTTTTTGCATTTATAATCCTTAGTTCCAATGTGGATTTGCGTCCTTGGTACTAGGTCAATTTCTCTCTCTGAACGCTATACTTTGGTTTTTGCTCAGAGTAATGTTTGAAATCGATAATTTTCTTCATCGGGGTTCTAAATGTCTTGGATTTATTGAATTTTTTCCCTGTGGTATGCTATTCTTCTTTTTTGTCTTCTTCCCTCTGATGCTTAGTAATATTATATCGATAGAACCCAAATGCCACTTAAACTGTATTCCATTTGATTAACAACAAGAAACAAATAAGCACTCTTCATTTTGAAGAAAAATTAGGGTGCCGAAATCAATGGATGGGGAAATCAATGAATGCTAAGCGTGGTCGCCAACCCAAGGGAAAGATTTCCTCATTGAGATGCATTGGTGAAAATGTAGTTTTGGGAAGGAAAGGGGGGAGGGAGTAGCGCTGATCTTCCCCAATTCGGAGCGCTAGAGCGCTAGAGCGCAGAGAAGGAGGAGTAAGCGACTTCGCGAGCCTAATGGTGCTTAGGAGCGTTTTCTAGCAGAGAAATACAATTTTTTTTTATACAGCTCTAAGAGAAAAGGAGCACGTGAGCCACTTGAATGTCCAATTCTTACATGTTCACAACTTTTTGCACGAGGAATCATCTTACTCATCCAGTTCACCTCCCCTACTATGATTTATGTAAAAACTGTGTTCCTTTGCCCAAGAACCTCTTCTAGGCATAAGTAAGTCAGCTACCTCTCCTGTGCGCTCCAACGCTCCGTACTACAAAACGGTGGCCACCTACATCACTTACACATTCACCAGATGTGCCTTTTCTCTCTACAATTCTAGAAGTCCCCTCCTAGACCCTGGAAAGAATTCAATGAGGCAGTATTTGGATAATTCGCGAAATAACTATAAATTTTTAAATATTGACCGAATTTCTTACCAGAGCTGTGAAGAACAACTTTGCTTTCCAGGATGAAAGCTCCTTATCGCATAGTTATCGTCGATGATTGAAACAAGGGCTGCGGAAGGTATTCTGGACCATCAGGAGAGGTTGGATAGTGGACAAGTACCCGGAATTGCTGCCCAGCTCTTCGATTTTGGCGCCCATCATTGATTGATCATCTGCGGTGATCAGCGGTATCGCTCACTTGACAGTGTCAATGCATAAGGATCAGAGCAAAAGGTTTTCTACACTACAGAGCCCCACCACCACCACCTTATCTTTTCTGGGCTGTCGCGGTATCATTTGATTAGCAGAACTGGAACACATAAGGACTAGAGTGTAGCCTGATCAGCTGATAAGACCCTTGCAGTCGATATGGTGCGTTACGCCATCGACATCGCGCCACCGGGTCGGCGTCAAGCATCGTTGCCTGTTTTCTGCTTGATTTTGCATAAATAATCGAGCTTGATCGCTTACTCATGTTCAAAAAGCTTTGGATTTTTGTCATACAAATGTCGATGCGTAATCATTGGAAAGACAAGCAAATTTTCTAGAAGATAACTATTTCTAAGGACTCGCTTTTTCGGGATTTTCTTGTGAGATTTATAGATTATTATGATGATGCCATTCTCTTGATGCCTATCCGTACCTTTTTGCTACTCTCTGCGTACTGCTATTTCTGTTTCTTTCTTTCTTTCTGTTTCTATTTCTTTTATTTGCTCAATCATGTAGTTCTGAAAAAACAACTGTTCGAATCTCTGTGCTCGAGCCCAGACGTTTGATGAAGGAATTCACCTCAAATGGAGGAGGAGCCATAAATCTAAAGTCTAAAAAACAGCACTCCCTCTCGAAGAGACCACATAAAAATAGGAAAAGCCTACTAAAAACGTTGATTTCTCTGTTCCTCTTTGTGAAACAATAGGTTCTGCTGGGAATCATATTTGGCTTAACCATTTCCTACTAGTGGAACAAGGCGTTGCCGCGAGCGCGCTTGCGTAGCGTTTGCTTGAGGGGGCCTCCAGCAACGGATCGATTTGTAGTACGCTTAGCGTAGTCATGCATCCTTAACCTGTCGTCTTCACCTATTTCATTAATTACGTTCTTTGAAAGAAGGTAGATCGTTCATCTCAATCTATTTTCAGAAATGGATCCTACAGCAGCTAAGAGCCACATCCCTGCACCAGAGTATTTCGAGTATACTTCAAGAGACGCGATTATTTATGCTCTTGGGGGTACTGCCTCCTGCATTTCCAGTCCTTTCCATTTTCCGCTGAAAGAGGCCGGATAAGCTTGGAATAAAATAGCTCTTTCAGTTGGAGCTCAGACGAAAACCGATCTCCGATATGTCTACGAAATGGCCGAAAACTTTCTGCCTTTGCCTACTTTCATCGTAGCACCAGGTCTTAAGGCTGCTGGCATCATGGACTGGCCAGGTAATCATTATTATTTTCGAGTGTATATGATTTTTTCCTACGATTTTTATGACTGAACCGATTCTACCAAACTGTTTCCATCATGGGTTATTGGGCTTTCATAATTGCTTCACTTTACCAGTAATCTAGCACTTATCAAGTTTCATACGATTTAATGCACTAGTGAATCTTCAGGTATCGAGTTTGATTTGGCACGAATTCTTCATGGCGAGCAATACATCGAAGTATACGAGCCCCTGCCCTCAGAGGCAAAACTACGTTCAGAAGCGCGAGTGGTCGACATTCTCGACAAGGGCTCTGGAGCGCTAATTCTATCTGAAAGTGAGTAATATCGAAGCTTGAACCCATACTACAGTGTTTGAAATATTTCTAGTAACCACTTATGATGACAGCACCGGTAAAAAGCTGGCGATGCAGCAGGTCGGCACATTTCAAGTCGGCTCTGGGAAATTTGGTGGCCCGCGGACTAGTGCTCATGAAAAACCTGCAGCCGAGATACCTTCTCGACAACCGGATGCCGTTTTTGAAGAGCAAACCTCTGTTGATCAGGTAGGACCCTACTCTTCATGTCAAAGGCTTTGAGTTGGGTTCAGAGTTAGCGAATCTTGCTTGTTTTGGCGACAGCAGTTGAGTTTGGTAAACCAGTAGTGTGGAGGTGTTCATCTCTTTGTCCTAGAGAGTAGCGAGCAGAAGCTTAATATTATACATCTGTATATTGTTGAACTCTTTCACGTTTTAGGCGACTTTATATCGAATGGGATCCGGAGACCTCAACCCACTCCATATTGATCCAACATTTGCCACCGTAAGTTTTTTCTGAACTTTATCATTTTTCCTTAACTTCAAACCTGGTTAGATGTCGGGCTTCAAAGAGCCGATTCTCCATGGTCTGTGCTCTATGGGATTCGCTGCTCGACATGTGATAAGCGGCTGGGCTGAAAATGATGCGAGCAGATTCAAGGCTCTGAAGGTGAGTATCGCTATCAGGGAGCGAAGACTCTCAATGAAAGGGTTACATTTGAGGTACGATTCTCATCACCGGTAATACCTGGTCAAACACTCAGGACAGAAACATGGAAGGATGGTGACCGAATCATCTTTCAAACAAAGGTTTGTTCAGGTTTCTGGAGGGTAATGTGTGCGATTGGGAGGTACCCACGAGGACATGTAAGTGCTAAACAACATATGGGTGGGCTATGTAGGAAATGGGAAAAAGTAATAACGGAAAGTGCAGATCAATCGACCTCAACACGCGCTCGCGACCGCTCGCCGATGGCTAAGAAACTTCGGTCGCTGTAACTTCACCTTTCCAGGTCAAAGAAACCGGTAAAGTAGTGATATCGAGTGCATGGATGACGCTGACCGAAACCTCCACAACGCCCACTGTGGTGGATCGCTTGAAGGCAAAACTGTGAAGTGTATGCAGTTTGTATCCATAATAAATCTTTATCACTGCAAAGACTGCATACTATGTGAATCAGAAAGAGGCGTAAATTAGGATGGCTGACAGTTACTTCGTAATGACGAGGCTGTTGGGATAGACTGGGAATATCAACACAAACGGGGGTTGGTCAACTGGATACAAAAACAGAACGAACATGCTTTATCTTTATGCAAGACGTTCACCAGTGGACGAAAGGAAATTCTATGAACTATCAGCGATTTGAAACGCATACTGCAATCTGAAAAAAAAAACATTTTGACAAGGAATTTGATCAAAGCAACAGACACAGACCAGGGAAGGGTGGGGTAGTGACATGAAACTACGAATGGAGCATGTTACATGGGTAGAGTTCAGGGTGTAGCTCACAAATATGAAAATCAAATTGCAAAGTGAGTTTCTCGAAAGAGCCTACATAGAAGGCACACTTGAAGGACCGATAGGAGGTGTCGACGGGGCGCAATTGCATGCTAGTAAATTACATTACAGGCGAAGTATGTGAGCGTGCTTCCCGTTTCCGACGGTATCTCTGCACAGGGCTAACCCACTCCATTGAAAGCTTTTACAACCTTTTTCTGAAATTTGCTCAAATAAGTGCCCTATTTCGGCTATCTTGTCACGCTTAGTCGAGACAGAACAGTTATTCAGTAAGTGTCACTGTCATTTTCAGCATTAATACGCTTTTAAAAGATATCGCTCCCAGTAGATGTCTGGGAGGAATTCAACATCGGTGAAACAACTCGAAAAAAGTGTGAGGCAAACATGCAACAAAAATAAGCAAACAAACAACTGAACAACATGTCCGCTTCACACATACATTTTTCCTCGTAACAATCCTTTCGAAAGCAGTTCTATTTGAATGTATCTGAGTGTTGAAAAGTACAGCGTACACTTCACCTGCCTAACCATTCTGTCCTAAGTAATTGTGGCAAGTGTAAAGGATAGCCGAAATAAAGCGTTTATTCGAAAAAAATGTCCTTAAAGGTAGTCAAAGCTTCTGGTAGTATGGGAAGAACACTGTGCGAAAATTTTGACAGCGACGGGTAGCATTTCCACATACTTCGCCTGCAGAGCAAGAGCAACTACCCGCGTCGACACCTCATATCGGCTCTTCGACTGCGCCTTTTATATAGGCACTACCTTCAAGCGATTGTGCTTTCATATTTATTTGGAAACTTAGTTTACAGTTGCACCTTCCATATACTATGGAGCATTCTAAACTCTATCGATCTGCCTAGGTCATCATTCAAGGTTTCATGTGAAGCTGACTACCCTTCCCTTGGGAAGATGAGTGGCAAACACTTCAGACAGCATTCGCTTTGGAAGTGTGAGCAAAGCTACTCGAGGTAGACCATTCTGCCAACGTTTATCCATCG